TGCCGTCCCAGTATTACGTGCGAGGCGTGTCGGACCGGTGGCTTGGCTCGGAAGTTGTGTGTGCTCTGTCTTTCAAGCACCTCATTTTGCCCGAAAAACATCCGCCACACACTGAATTGCTTGATCTTCAACCTTTGCCTATTACCGCTCTGAAATGCAAGGAGTACGAGCAGCTTTATCCGTGAGTAGATACGGCTGGCTGCATCACCTCTCATTTGCAGCTGTCATTGTCTTTCAGTTTCTGCGTGCGACACGCATGCGTTTAAGTATAGTCCTGTCTCAGTACTAATCCTTTAGAACTCTTTGTGGGTATTATCACATATAGTACGTGCGTGCCTACATTTTGTCGAAACTTGGTTGTTAATGTCGTGACGTAACTTGATCACAACAATTTACTGAGATAGCTGTTTGTGTACTCGCCAATACTCAATTTCTGATTGGTCAGTTAGAATCGGAACACGATATTCGTAGGAATTTATCGAATACTACATTGTACTAATATAACCGGTTATTTTTGGCTTGGTATAATCTTGTTTTTTTTCTTTTTATCCTTTTTAAATCACCCTATCAAACAACCTAAATTTCTTTTTCAGATTCACACATTTCAATCCAGTTCAGACGCAAGTATTTCACACGGTGTACCACACAGATCATAACGTGTTACTTGGTGCACCCACTGGATCCGGTAAAACACTGGCCGCTGAACTGGCCATATTCCGTATCTTCAATCAGTATCCAGGAACTAAGGTAGGTCGTTAGTTTATTCTGTTATAAGCAAGATAAAAAAAGGCCAAGTCTGCATACCAGCCAAGTGGCCCATCAGGTCGGAGCTTATCCCGGTTTCTGTAGCAGGAAGCGACTTTTGTGTTGAATTTTAATTAAAGCCGTTCAGTTCAAACCCTGGCGTACGCGTGCGTTTGACATTTTGGCCACATAAAGCTTTGGAATCCATAATTGTTTGACTGTGTGTTGAATTTTTACATCTTGCGTTGTTTTACGGTGTAGCAAAAAGCTTGAAAAGTTGCCAAAGTTGGAAATTTCGGAGCGGTCCGTCTTCGGTGGAAAATCCACTGGGAAAATCCACTGGAGCGCGCGCGATTAGCCCATCAGATCAAGGATTTAGGATTCTGGACCGCTAAGAAACTGGGGAAAAAAAAAAGTAACACTGGAGTTTCCCGTTCAAACCTTTCTGTAATTTGTTAGCACTGTGACAATGGTGAATTGACTTATCAGATCATACTACTGTATTTTCCTTTGAATAAAATCGCCAAACGTTAACCTGGGCTGTCAATGTATTTGCACAGGTAACGTATTTCAGTTTAAAATCAAGGCAACACATTCAAGTAAAATAAATCTGACAATTTTGTTTCGTTTCCTTTCCAGGCCGTTTACATCGCTCCTTTAAAAGCTTTGGTTCGCGAAAGAATGGACGATTGGAAAGTTCGTTTTCAGCAGAAACTCGGAAGAAGGTAAGAAGTAACCTGTATGGTACGCTTTGACTGTTGAGCAGACGGATAGAACGGCTTGGTCGATCTAAATTCGAATTAAGTTCGACGTTTGACCCAACGGTCGACCTTTACCCGTTTCGGTCGACTCAAATTGCAATTTTGTTCGTCTCATGTGAAGTTCGACGTTTGACCTGGGCCTAAGACTAACGATGTTTTAATGAGATTGGCGCTTGTTTCATCTCAAAACAATTTTCGGTCGAAACTAGAGTCGACTGCCGTTGTAACTAACGAACCAAACGGTAAAGATGTTTCATCAACGGCTTATTTTTCGTAACTTTGTCAGCCGCGGTAAGTAAATATTGCGTTTGTCCGATTTTATATCCATAGTGTTGTGGAGTTAACTGGAGATACCACCCCAGACATGCGTGCTGTCGCCAAAGCGGATGTCATTGTCACCACCCCTGAGAAATGGGACGGTATCAGTCGAAGCTGGCAGACACGTAACTACGTCAAGGCGGTCACTCTGTTAGTGATTGATGAGATTCATTTGCTGGGTGAAGAGAGAGGACCTGTTCTGGAAGTCATCGTGTCACGGACCAACTTCATCTCCTCGCATACGGAGAAAACCGTTCGTGTGATTGGTTTGTCAACTGCTTTGGCCAATGCATCCGACCTGGCTGACTGGCTGGGAATAGAACAGGTGTAGTACCCTTTATGATTGTGCAGGTTTACGTGATACATTGTGATCGTGTTAATGGAGACTTTGCAGAGAACAAAAAGAAAAAAAGGAAGCGAGTAATTGAATAAACCATTTCGAGTTGCATTTTACTTCTTTTTCTAAACGAGTGATGAGTTTGATTTGCAAGACAATGAACGTACAAGAAATGTTAATTTCAATATGAAAGGTTATACACTAAGACTCGTTTTGAAACAGAGCCGAGGTAAAAGCAACTCGGAAATAGCCTATTCGTATCAGTTGCGGAGCCAAGCGTACATTTTCTTCCTCTTTTTTCAATCCCACAAAGACGATGTGAAACCAAGAGAAAAATCACACAGAGCGCTCGCGGCAGTTTCCAGTTTCCTATATAAAGATAATGACTACATTTCGATCGCTGTATTAAAATGATTATGAACGGTTTTTGATCACACTTATAGGTAATCGTTTTCTAGGAAAGAGTGTTTTGTTGCTTTTGATTTCCTTTTCTTACAGACAGCGGCATTGTTATTGATATGTAAAATGTCTACCGAAGGGCCAAAACAGGGAGAAGAAACGAAAAGAATAAAATTCTGATGTTGGTCTCATTTTTCTTTTATTCTAGGCAGGAATGTTTAACTTCCGGCCCTCAGTTCGCCCAGTCCCCTTGGAGGTGCACATTTCCGGCTATCCCGGCAAGCACTATTGTCCGCGCATGGCAACAATGAACAAGCCCACCTTTGCCGCCATTCGCACCCATTCCCCCACCAAGCCAGTGCTGGTGTTTGTTTCGTCAAGACGACAGACGCGACTCACTGCTCTGGAGCTGATCTCTTTCTTAGCTGCTGAAGACAATCCTAAGCAATGGCTGCACATGCCTGAAACTGAGGTGAGAAGATACAAGTTAATCGAGTGGTGTGTATAAATTTTTAGTTCAGACAAAACGAACAGTCAATTTTTAAAACGTGTTGCCATAGAGACTCAAGAAAACCCATTTCTTAGTTACCTTTAAAAGCTTTTGCCTGTTTCCGAGTGAGTCCTGGTGCTAAACATTCACTTGAAAATTAGGCCATTTCCGAATTACCTTTAGCCTCTTTCTCAAGGCGAGTCTTGGTGCCACATCCTTTCATGTGAAAATAAGAGTTCATTCACATGCAAATAAAACTCATTTTCATATGACTGGTTGTGCATTAAGCCTCGCTTTGATAGAAAGGCCTAGGACAACTCTTTTATTTGCTCAGTCATTTTCATATGAGAGGTACCCTCGAAAGCAAAAGAATTGAGGCAATCTTGGATGCTTATAAAAGGGTCATCAAATATCCCGAAAAATAACAGAAATGATGGTGTGTGCATTCAGTAAACGTTAGAGCGTCAAGTTTCTTAAATTTCAATTCTGTTCCAGATGGAATCTTTGATTCAAACAGTCAAGGACAATAACCTCAAGCTGACTTTGTCGTTTGGTATCGCGCTGCATCACGCGGGTTTACACGAGAGAGACAGGAAGATCGCAGAGGAGCTGTTTGTCAATCAAAAGATTCAGGTAAGAGAGTATACTAGTGTGAACGGAACGAATAAATTATTATCAAAACCCTCTGGATAATTGCTCGACGGTTAAATTCTTTACAACCTTACTGTTTGTACATACCTTACTTTTGCGCACGCTTAAATCTTGGAAAATATTTTTTTTCTAAAGGGGGATTAAAGGCGACGTTACACTGGCGAAGTTTTTTTGCTTGTTTCTCGAGATAAGTTGGACGGGAAATGATACCATGTAAGCGCTAGCCGCGAGCGTTGCCCCGCGTGGATTATATTAGGCGCCCAGAGCCAAGTTTATAATTAACGTGGAGGTTATACTGCCAATGGTTCGATCTGCGATCGGCGATTCTGAACAGGTTGAAGATGAGGTTTAACAGCTAAGAATTTAGAAGTTGGTCAAACTTTTTACTGGACTGAAGTCTAACTGATAACTTAAGATTCCAGCGGCCACATCCAGGCTGTCTGAACACTCTTTTATTTGCCTCGCTTCAGATTTTAATAGCTACCAGCACTCTAGCCTGGGGTGTGAACTTCCCGGCTCACTTAGTGGTCGTAAAAGGCACGGAGTACTATGACGGCAAGACAAGAAGGTACGTGGATTTCCCAATCACAGACGTACTGCAGATGATGGGACGCGCAGGGAGACCACAGTATGACGAGCATGGGGTGGCTGTGATCCTGGTTCATGACATCAAGAAACACTTCTACAAGAAGTTTCTGTATGAGCCATTTCCTGTTGAGTCCAGGTGATTATTTTTAGTCTTACAGTAAATTTTAAATTATTGTTGTGTAGCGATACCTGTGGTTTTCTTCCGGGTGCGATATTCCATCATGTTCGATGACTTCATTATGACCATGCGGATTTTGTTTCATTGTCATGAACTGATCTAATAAAGGCATGTGTTTATATAGCGCGTGTGCAATGAGTTCCAGAATTGTCCAATCAAATCTAGCACCCCGTTTACACCTAATGTTCATATTTCGTTAGGGTTCAAATGAGATAGAAGTTGCCAAATCCACTGTCGGTAGTAATGAAATCACGCTCTCTTATCAGTGATGGCCAAAACAAAAAAAAAATTCTCTGTTTACCTCAAAAGCAGATCTATGAGACAGGAAAAATAACGCCATTGAATTTGTGCATTCAGTGAGGCCCGTCAGTAAGGCTATTTAACAATTATTATTTAACAATTTTTCCCCGAGCTCGCGTTGGATATGGGACGGTAGATAGTTTTATTAAAAACGCCCCCAAAATGTAGAAAAAATAAAATAAAAAATAAAAATAAAAATAGAAATGCCCCCAAAAATTGCTTGCATAAGTGGCTAAGCCAATGAAAACTCTTGAATTGTGTTATTCAATGATCCAGTTTTAATGTAATAATGTATCTTACATAATTATAAGTGTTTATTGTCTTTTTACTTGATTGGAATTACCTGCACCGCGTACATGAGCTCTTGTAATGCTAACTTGTTTTCACAGTTTGCTCGAAGTGCTTCCAGATCACTTGAATGCAGAAATCGTAGCGGGTACGATCACGTCAAAACAAGATGCCATGGATTATCTCACTTGGACTTACTTCTTTCGACGCCTGCTGATGAACCCGAGTTATTATGAGCTGGAAGACACGGCCAATGACTCGGTGAACAAGTTTCTCTCTGCCTTGGTGGAGGATGCCTTGAAGGAGGTGGAGAATTCTGCGTGTGTGGAGATTGGTGAGGTGGGGAACTTGTGTTACAGCAGTAAGTGAATTGTAAGGTTCTGCACAGGATCCAACTGCCCCGCAATGCCTGCACTTAACATCCGTTACGGTAACATGAAAGTATTGCTATTTATGCTCATTTACGATACACCCTTGATCGTGGGGACGCGGTGGCCTCATGTTTAAGGCGCTCGACTCCGGATCGAGCGCTCCGGGTTCAAGCCCTGGCCGGGGACATTGCGTTGTGTTCTTGGGCAAGACACTTTACTCTCACAGTGCCTCTCTCCACTCAGGTGTATAAATGGGTACCGGCGAATTTAATACTGGGGGTGACCCTGCGTTTCTTACGTTAGAACATAGCACGAGGTCCGGAATCAGTGCTATAACCATCGATCATCAGATCTCGAATGAGGCTGTTTTCGTCACGCGTTTCTTCGAGGAATGCATGGTGAACGAAGAAACCCATGGAACGAGGTTGTGCTTTACTACCTCAATGAGCGTCAGATAGGGTACTCATCACCTCGTCACTAAAGGAGATGCAACTTTCATACATTTGTAATTTATCTGTTTGTTATTAGCTTAATTACTGAAGAAGTATAGGAATAATAGTGGCTTATGAGCAAATCATCTGGTTTAACATCAACCTGTCTCCCTCCAGATGAGGCTTTGTAGAAAACCTTTCATTCGAAAATAAAACTTGATTTTACTCATAGTTAGAGAAGACTTATTGTAGCGAGAGTAGCACAGAAACAGTTTGAAAATACTAATAAATCTCCCGGAAAAACCTGTGAACTTGCCTTACAAGTCAATTTAATTTATCTTATATTGAAGGTAAAGGTTTTATATCCAATTCGGACAGAAATAGCCTTATAGACTTTCGCTAATAGTATAATTTCTGTGAAACATTGTTTTTGTTTTTTTTTCCGTAGGACGGTTTGTCGACAACTCCGACCACTCTCGGGAGAATCTCTTCGTACTACTACTTAAGCCACTTGACACTGCGCATGTTCCATGAGCGGTTACACGCTGACTGCAGTCTGTCGGACCTCATCCAGATTCTAGCGGTAAAGAATTTTTCCTTTTATAAACTACACTGATTCGATGTAGATAATATTTTTGATGTCAAAATTGCACGGTTAATTACTTAACAAAGGGCAATCATTGAATGTAGATTTCCACAAGGTTTGTAAACGAGACACGGATTAACATTTCGTCCAAGGTGCGAAATTGCAGAGAATCAATTCATAAACGCCCTCGTGCTTATTCTCTTACTAACTGTAGATACCATTATCTTATACCGCATTCTGCATGGCGCAGAGTATACTTCATCTTTCTTTGTAAGTGGTGAGAAAACGAAGAGGAATTGATAACTGAGCTTTACTTATTTTGTTGCTCTGCTGCAACTTTAATAATACTTTGGTTTGCTCGTTTGGCAGAATTATTTTATGTAAAGCAGAGAGTAGATTTAAGTAGTTACTGGTTGTAACAGTAAAGATCCTATTTCCCTTGTAGGGAAAAGGACATGTTGATGGTTACAATTTTGAATACGCTACAGCTTCTTCATGTTATTTTGCAGGACGCTGAAGAATACACTCAGCTGCCAGTTCGTCATAATGAAGACATCATTAACAGGTAAGCGTGCAATATATCCATTGGTCTTAGTTTACCCTTACCATAATTGGCTCCAAGAGTCAAACTTTAAGTCAGTTTAGGTGCCGTTTCAACTCTTTTAGTCTTGTTGAAAGTTAAGTGTGTGACCAATCAAGTACTGTCTCGTGGTTCGCTATTATGCGAAATGGCATTTTAGATTATTTCCATTACTGAAAAATAGACCCATTTGTCACACATTTCAGCGACCTCGCGCCCAGTCTCCCTCTGGAAGTGGACCCTCAGACGTTCGACAGTCCCCACACCAAGGCACATCTGCTGTTCCAGGCGCATTTCTCGAGACTACCACTGCCCAGCACCGACTACCTAACAGACACAAATTCAGTTCTTGATCAAGCTATTAGGATATTGCAGGTAAGATAACCCAGCGTAGATTATGAACATCGGAGAATTCTGTTAGACTATTCTAGATGTTGTCTGCATGAGATCTGATCTGTGATCTAAGAAAGGAGAGACTGTCCTCGCTTTTCAATGGACGTCGGTGTAAATCGTTCAATATGATTCTAGTATTACCTGTGTGTTCTGTGTTCAGGTTAGCGGAGGCGCGGTGGCCTCATGGTTAGTGCACTCGACTCCGGATCGAACGGTCCAGGTTCAAGCCCTGGTCGAGGACATTATGTTGTGTTACACTTTACTCTCACAGTCCTTCTCTCCACCCAGGTCGGCAAATTTAATGCTGGGGGTAACCCTGCGATGGACTAGTATCCCATCCAGGGGAAAGTAGAAATACTCCTAGTCGCTTCATGCTACAGAAACTGGGATAAGCTCCGGCCTGATGGGCCAATTGGCTCGTATGCAGACTTTACCGTTTTATTACCTTCTGTGTTTAGGCAATGATTGACGTCTCTTCAGCTGAAGGCTGGTTAGCAACAGCGTTACGGTGTATGCATCTTGTGCAGATGGTGGTTCAAGGGCGTTGGCTTAATGACTGCACCCTCCTCACACTGCCGTGCGTCGATCCAGATCTGCTGTCGCTCTTCAGAATGGATGGTCGTTCTTTAGATTGTCTCCCTGAGCTCTTAGACGCCGTTAGAGGCGAGAGAAAAGTATTGAATGCAATGTTGGGAGACGCGCTGAGTCCAGGAGAAATAAACCAGGTACTTTGTGTAGACGTGTGTTTTGTAATTCCACGAATATAACGGAGAACATGCGCAAACAATACGTTGAACCACTGAAACGCGTGGCGAAGCAGAAAACATGAAGCGGTCACGTGCCAAGCGCGGAAAAACACGTATAAGCCACGTGATCACGACTGGGTTTGGTTTTGCTCCTGATTGGTTATTAATGGGGCATATCCTCTCTGATTGGTAGAGACATGTTGGACGAAGCTTTTGACGGCTCATCAATCATAAAACCAAAACAAATGTAAGAAAAAGAGCGTCGAAAGTAATCAGGCAGTTACTTTGGTTTGAGATTGACTGAGTAGTCTAATTGGTAAGTAGTTGGTTTGGTTTTGGTTTTACGACACTCGGTTGAAAATCGTTCTAGTCAATTGAAATACTTTGTTTTACCCTGTTTTTGTTTTGCTTGTGATGTAGGTATTTGACATGTTAGGTCGTCTGCCCCAAATCAGTGTGAAATTGAAGGTGCGTGGAGTCTGGGCCGAGAACCAGGAAGGTATGAAGGAAAGTAAAGTCATCAATACTAAAGAGACCAAGGGGATCGTGAGAGACTGGGTGCCAGTACATGCCGAGCAGGAGTATGTCATCTTGATTGAAATCACCAAGGAGTTTTGCGGTTTTAAGGTAAGAAGACGAGAACTTTAGTGAGTTTCTATCCGTTTTGCCAGCTCTGTTAGGTCGCACTGAACGAATCTCTCAAGTTATGTCATATGTCACGGTATTTCAGACTTTTTTTGTCCCGCTAAGCTATTCTTTTTCGGTGCCTATTACTATTTATCGTTAACTTTGAGCATGTCAAATATTAAATGTTATCTACATAACGAACTGAGCGTGACCACAGTTTTCTTACAAATTTACCTGAATGTAATATCAGTGAGTGCTATAGAATTAAAAATCGGCACTAAAAATGCTCTTTTTTTCAGCGGTCCAACACAAAAGCTCATGCGCCTCACTTTCCCAAAGTCAAAGACGTTGGCTGGTGGGTGATCCTTGGCGAGATGGACTCGGGCGAGCTATTGGCGGTGAAGAGAGTGGGTCAAGTGCGCTCGTCTAGTACCGTCCCTTTATCATTCTACACGCCTGAGGACCTGGGCAGGAAGTTCTACACAGTGTATCTCATCAACGACGCTTACCTGGGAATGGACCAGCAATATAATGTTCCTCTAGAGATTATCGAGTCTGATATCTCTAGTCAAGTTAACACGGAGGTTAACTTTGACAAATAATGAATCCCCCGTCAAATGCTAGCTCTTTGTGTTGAATATTTGATGTATAGAAAATGTGAAATATGTAGTTCAGACCGCCCGTTCAAATCTTTACTAATTTAGGTAAGCAAGAATCTCATCAACGGTCTATAAAGTACGCATTCTGTGCAGTCTGAATTTACAGTGATACGCCCAATTGCAAATATTTTTCCATATGCGTGGCAGCACTAATGTGGCACCGTGGAAATGTGCGGCGTTTGCAATACCCCTCTACTGTTTTCTGGTATTTCGTCTATTTGTTTATTATTTCAAACAATTATTTTAAGATCTGAAGTTTTTTTATGCAACAAAATCAATGCGTGTTTTGCTTGCATCGTTTGGGTCACTTCCACGGAGTAATCCATTTCTAAATTCTGTTTTTCTCGCGGTTGACTCGCGGTTATTTTCACTTAAATATTATAACTCGACAAATGAATTATTAATGCTCAGAGTAACCTGCACAAAGGACCGTCAAATCGAAAGATTAAAAAATATACACATTAAAGATGTTCAGATTATATTTGTAATATGAAGAGGTTCACTGAATCATTTGCAAAATATTGTAAGTGCTTTTTGTTGTTGTTGTTTTGTTGTCATCATTGTTGTTGTTGTTAAGGTATAAGGCTCTTGATTGGGAGCTCGTTTCGTTCGAAATCTAAAGCAGCGAGTTTGTAAAACGTGTGATCAGCATCACTAAGGCCCCGTCCACATTGCGCCGGAGAAATTTAAAAGCCTAAGGCCTCCCGTCCACACTGATCCGTCACGATAACGGAGCTTCTCGAGAACGCTCTTCAAACCGGAGGAATTTGAAAACGCCTGCGTTTAGTTTTAGCGTGGACGGGAAACATTTTGAAAACGAAACTTTTCGAAAACGATGTAGTCACAATAATCATGGGATTTTCCTCAAACACAAAGCCAAGATGACCGGTGATTGTTGCGTGTTCAAATTTCTCCGGCGCAATGTGGACGACAGGGCCTAAACACCCTGAGCAAAGGCCAGTAGTTGTATTGTATCGGGTTGCGGTTGCCTTGATGCATGGCGCGAAAATCCCAACTCATCCCTGAAGATCATTACTGCGTTAATATTGCTTGGGAAACGAGGTTAGTCGTGCCAACAAAATAAAACACGCGCGTGTTGTCGCACGGCTTGAGATTTCAGACTGCAGAGGAGTTTATTCATCTTCCCAAGTTGGTACATTGATGAAGGAAAAATTCATAACAGGAATTCAAACATTTACCTGAAGCCAGTCGTGTAACTTAAGAGCTGATAGTGGGGACTTAAACAGAAATAAGAAATGTTAGCCTTGATGAGAAATAAACCGCTTGTTAATGAGGGATCGTTAGTGTTACGGTATTTCTGCACTAGGGTCACATTTAACAATTCTTTTATCGGTAAAAAGACAGACGAAAACCTCTTTTTTCAACAGAATTGTTTATTTACACTGTAAGATCCAAGTGTAACATTTTTTCTATTATTCGTTCTTGCGTAATTTGTTTTTCCTTTGCGTACGCAAATTAGTTTATACTTCTTTTCGTCCTT